CCCCAAGGCCCGTGTGGTATAGAAGGAGAGAACTGACTCCTCCGTAAGTCCTTCTCTGATCTCCACGTGTGTCCTGAGGCACTTCCAAAAACAAGACAAAACATGTCACCTATGTAAAAGATGCATAAGGGCAAGTCTGTTCATCAAGCATTCTTAATTCAATTGCTTTTCAGCACAAGATCACAACAAAGGAAGAGTGGCAGAAACTCATTCAGCTTCTCACTGAATTCCACATGCAAAATATAGATCTGTTACATAGTAATCTTGAGTTCATCCTGCCACTGCCAGTTAACATGATGCCAGATGTAAGAGGTGCTTATGGCTTCCCAGGGACTACACCGGCCAGTGCACCAGCAAGCATGAAGCATCTTGCCAGGAAGCAGTCAGAAGACCAGACATCGAGAAAATCACAGAAAAGGAAACAGAAAAAGATGGTGACCCTAGATGACAGTGACCTATTTGACACTGGCCTGGACTTTTCTGGTGAACTACTTAGCTTATCTCCACCTTCCTCATCTGTAGAAGACAACATAAGCAGAGACAGAGATAACAACCCAGAGATAAAGACACAGAACAAAGGTTTCAAGCCTCACTCTGTACCTCAGCCTCCTAAGACACTAGCAGAGAAGAAGTGTTGTATGCTCGTTTCCCACTGTTTAAACTCTCTCAGTGAATTCATGGAGAATATGTCCTTCATAGATGCCCTTTTAACAGATCCAGGGGAACAGAATGAATTTGGTAAAAGTGCCTTTCACTGGACAAGCGGAAAGGTTAAAAGTGGACTTTGTGATGAGTTTAGTCTTGAGAATAGAGAAGGGTGGGCTCCTCGGAGCTCTGAAGAATTAAAAGCAACTGCAGAAGCACTCAGCTTCACTAAATGTTCTTCTACCATTTCAAAAGCACTAGAGTCCTTGAATTCATGCAAGGAATTAGGAAGAGACACAACCAATAAACTCACTTTCTGTGCTTCACAAAGGTGCCATGATGTATGCTTCCGCCAATCGGCAGCTAATCTACAGTAAGTCTTATTTGTTACCTTCTATTTTTCAGTAATCAAGGTCAGTGAGTCTTCTTACTAATTTTCAAGTGCTGGGCCATTGATCATGGAAACACTTAGTGTTAATATAGTTTCGCATGCAAATTAAGTAGAGTGTTAACAAAACTAATTTGAATGAAAATTGGGAAACCTGAGCTGAGCGTGGTGCCATACACCTTTAATCCTAGCACTGGAGGCAGAAGCAGATGGACCTCTTTGTTCGAGGCCAGACTGGTTTACAGAATGAATTTTAGGACAGCCAGGGCTACACGGGAGAGACCCTGTCCCAGGGGGGAAAAAGAAGAAATTTGGGAGCCTTTAGGCAATAGAGAGGCACAGACTCCTGACAGGTAAAAAGGTAACCATTAAGATATTTCACTGTGACACCAGGCTGAGGTTAATCACAGCACTGGAGAGTAGAAGCACAGAGATCAAGAGTTTGATGCCAGCCCAAGCTACAAAACAAAAGTAGTAAACAGACATTTTCAATATGAAGCTGAGCGTGGTGATGCAAGACTGTAATCCCAGCACTCAGGAGACTGAGGTTGAAGTCATGTAGACTCCAGGCCAGTCTGGGCACACATGAGTGAGTGATCTGCTGACAGGAAATTAGAAGTGTTATCTGATCTAGACCAGAAGCAAGAACACTGGGTTCCTTTAGGGTTGTTACATATTTATATACAAAATAATAAATAATACTCTTACTTTGTAGCAATGCTGACAAGAGGATGGCAGTCATTAAGAGTGTGTTTTCTAGCCGTTCTTTCCTGACCCTGGGTAATAAACAAGCTAGTATAATTGACTACCTGCCAACTCTTCGGAACATTTGTCGGACAGAAAAGCTAAAAGAACAAGAGAAAAATAAAAGAAGGTAAAGTGTACAAAAAAAAGTAATATTTTAGGTACATATGTTAAGATTAAGAAATGTTTATGAGAATGAAAATACTAATATTAAATATTTTTGCAATTTTGACAGGTTTCTCCACTATTTTGAAGGAATTAATCTAGCTATTCCTGAAGAAACCGTAACTACTTTGGCAGCTGACTTCCCTTGATGCTTCCCGTCATCAGTATTGTACAGACTGTGTGGTCCTTATGACACACTTTAGAGTGTGTGACTTTAAAGAAGAGCTTATTTCTCTTCATGTAAACTTTAAAAGACTTTTGTATTTTTGTGGTTCAAGTATTTAAAATGAAAATTTTGAGTTACAAATTGTATATTTTGTGGCATTTTTCTGAATGTTTTGAATAATCTATTTTTGCTTTATAGTACACTTTCTATATGTGTGAACTGTTTGTAGAATAATTTTCACTAATAGATTTCTAGAGCTGTTTCAGTGCTGAGCTCGCCTGTCATTTCCCCTTCCTGTAATCTTCCTCTACTGTCCAGCGTGAGAGCTGTCCCGCTGTAAACAGGCAGTCTCTAAAGCTACACAGTGGAAAACAGAGTTATGTACGGGGTATTTTTAAAATGTCCTAGGAAGCAAATTATGCCTCAGTTGTGGAAAGCATTGCCTTTATTTCTTGTGCCGTCTTCCAGCATGTTTTACATTTAATCATTGAATCATTGGTGTGGCAGAGTAAAGTAGTAAACTAGATTCTGAATTCTAGTGTTCACAAACCTTCCTTCCTTATCACCCCATGGAGTTACGGTCTACTGCATTTTGCCAACTCAAATCATTTTTAACATTTTTTGGTACTTTTATATCATTATGTTTTATTCTATAAAGTAATGACGTTAGTTTATCTATTTTGGACAACTTGTTGATGGTTGAAGAAATAATGAAGAATTCTACCATGGGGTTTCTACCTGACAGCATTTCCATTTAAGTATGGATTTTAGGTTTTTTTGGTGCTGAGGATTAAACTTAGGGGTTTCTGTATTATAGACAAATGTCCTGTGTCTTAGTATATACACAGGCTTTATGTTTTAGTAATTATCCCCAGTGTTACATGTCAAGCCCAAGACCTTGTGCATTCTGTGAACATGTTTAACCACAGAGCTAGAACCCCGTCCTGATTTTGAATCAGGGTATGGTATATTGCTTAGGCTACCCCTAAACTCCTTCCAGAACATTGTGATCCCCGTCTCAAGCTTTTTAAGTACTTGGGACTACAGGTATATGCTACCATACCAAGCAAAGTCATCTTTTAATATCTTTTTAAGTACTTATTTTTTACTTTAGTAGCAAGATTTTAAAATGCACATTTTACTTAATGTTATTTTACAAATAATCAGGTTTGTTTAAAATTCCTTCATAATGTAAATATTTGTATAATAACATAATATTCAGGTACATTTTCTGATGAATTGTATTTTTAATTCAGAAGATAAGGATCCTAGTTTTGTACTTTTAAAAAAAATATAGGTGCATACCTGTTTACAAATGTGTATGAAGAAGTGTTTTTACCTCTTGTTCAGCCTACCTTTTCTTGTATTAATTAGTAAATTGATCTAATTAAAAGTTAAAGCTAAAATGCTTCCTGTGGTATTTAAGTTATGATTTTTGTTGGTTTTTGTTTTTTGCTCATTTGTTTGTTTTGTTTTTTGAGACAAGATTTCTATGTAGCCCTGGCTGTCCTGGAACTTATTCTGTAATTCTGTAGACCAGACTGGCCTAGAACTCAGAGAAATCCACCTGCCTCTGCCTTCCGAGTGCTGGGATTAAAGGCATGTGCTACCATCACCACCTTGCTGGTCAAAAAATTTTTAAAGACTTATGTTTTTTATGTGTATGAAAGTTTTTCTAGCCGGGTGGTAGTGGCGCACGCCTTTAATCCCAGCACTTGGGAGGCAGAGGCAGGCGGATTTCTGAGTTCGGGAGTTCGAGGCTAGCCTGATCTACAGAGTGAGTTCCAGGACAGCCAGGGCTACACAGAGAAACCCTGTCTCAAAATACCAAAAAAAAAAACAAAAACAAAAAAAAGTTTTTCTGCATGTATGTGAACCACATACCTGCAGTGTCCTTGAGGTCAGAAGAGGCCATTGGGTACCCTGTAATTGGAGTTAAGAATGGTTATGAGCTGCTTACCATGTTGGGGCTGGGAACTGTACCTAGGACCCCTACAAGGGCAACAAGGACTCTTAACTGCTGAAGCATCTTTCTGGCTCTTGAAGCTTTTAAGTGTCAGTATCTGTGTTTCCCTGCTGGGTGGCTACTGTAGGTGTTTAGCTGCTATTCAGGTGTTTTATTATTAGGGTCTCTGATCATTCCCAACAACTTATCAACCAATGTAAAATAAATCCATAAAACTGTTCAAGTTATCAAAACTGCTTCTTGAGCAGGAACATGACCTAGTGGGGTGATTTTTAGTTTGAGAGAACATTTTTCCCCATTCAATCCCAACCTGTCTTTGTCAAATTTTTTTCTTTTTGGAGAGGCAGGAGTTTCTCACTAGATTCCCAAACTGACCTCACACATTCTTACTGCTTGTGTTCTGAGTACACAGATTACAGGTACAACTTTCACTTCAGCTAGTTGTTCTTCCTTTCACTAGGGTTTTTTTGTTTGTTTTGTTTGTTTGTTTTTGTTTTTCAAAACAGTTTCTCTGTGTGGTCCTGGCTAGCTATTCCAAAACTCGGTATACCTGGCCTGGCTGGCCTTGAACTTAGATCTGCCTGCCATGCCTCACAGAGTGCTGGGATTAAAGGCATGTACCACCACCACTCAGCTCTTAAATTTATTTTTTAAATGGTTATCTTTTATTTTTCTATGTGTATGTGTGCTTCCTTTGTGTGTCTGTGCAGAACAAAGAACGCCGCATCCCTTGGAACTGATGGATAGGCAACTGTGAGCGCCTGCAATGAAGGATTGAGAACCAGACTGCGGCTCTTGAGAAAAGCAGCCGAGTGAGATTAATGAGCAAACCATCTCTCAGCCTGGTACTTGCTTTTAAATGGAGGTAACTTTTGGCTGTGTGTGTGGCTCCTTACTATTTAGAACTTAAACAAAAAAGGCACAGAATCTCACAAAATATTTATTGATTTGGACTTGGCTTGTTGGTTTTTTTTTTCAAGCCAAAAACCTGATTTTATAAACATGGAAGATACATTCAAAACGTTTTCCACTAACATGGAAGTTGGGAACAGTTGCTGTAATAAATTAGTTAACAGTAGAATGAGTGGATTAACATTTGAGCTCTGAGCCTTTGCCAAAAACTAACTCATAAAAAGCAACAGCTTGTAATAATGAATCATACAACTCTTCAATCCGGTATGAGCTCTTCACAATCTTCTGTCTGTATTGTACTACAAGGTCCTGTGGGAAGAACACCCGAGGCTGCTCCTTCAGCACAGACTCCAAGAGGAACTGCTTCACCAGCTCCCTCCCACTAGTCCTCGTGTCTCCAATCATCAGGTCAAAGTGCTTACCCACAGCATTTCGATTTATGCTCAGCACCCGATGCTGGCCATCCTCAGCAAAAGTTTTGTTGAGTAAGGCATACAGCATGGCTTCTGTGATAAGAAAGTGTAGCAGTATAGGAAGGAGAGATGTGTTCTGAATGGAAAGTCCTGATTTTTCCAAAATGTAGAGATCTGCTTTAGGCATCTTTGAAATGACTGAAGAAATCTTCAAGAAAAAAAAAATCAGAATGATTATGCTTCGTGTTTGTCCCATTTCTAACTAAAAAGCTTCTTGAAGTCTAAAGTCTACTGACTTTGAGACTCAGCAACTCAAAACTTTTAACAATTTGAATTACTCCAAGGTAGAACAGAGAGCTGGCCTCCTTAGCCTGGAATCTGCTGGTGTGATGGGCTGGCTAAAGTCTCCTATCAGCATGTACTCACCAAAGTCGCAATTCCTGCCCATTTCACACCTTGAAGACTTAAAAAGTCACATTTAACGACAAGGTTTCTACATTTTTAAAGCAAATATAATAAAGCTACAATAGGAGTAAAAGGTGCTCCAAACCTCAAAGACCACACCATTTTTTTTACATCCCTTTTGGAACTGCCAGACTGAACTATATACAAGGAACCATGTAAGAATGTACAAGGACCAACCACTTACCTCTTCCAGATAAAAGGACATTGGGCATATTTTGTTAGTTAATTTCCAGCACTCCGCCTGCTGCCAGTCCAGCACTGTCAGTTTCCGGTCAAGGTGAGCCCATGCAATTCTTCGAGTACCAAAAACAATAGATACGATACTATTAACTGCCTAAGGGAAAAGAGCTGATTTGATTACAACTGTAAAATCTTACTGCTATAAAACCTATAAACTCAAAATGCCTAATAAGTTTAGGTGATCAAAGTTTATTTACAAGCTGGGTGTGGTGGTCCTGTCTTGAGGAAAAACAGAAAATTGTTCTGTTCCTCACACCTTTTCAACACGTATTTTAAAAGCAAGGCTTTTGGAGGGTGGGAGGTTGGGGTTTGAGACAGGGGTTCTCTGTGTAGTCTGGCTGTCCTGGGTCTCCCTCCATGTGCCACAACCACCCAGCTCCTTATTTTATCTTTATTTTGTCTGTGTGTGTGTATGTCCCCTGCTTTTTCCCCCTTGATTGATTGACTGTGACCTTTAAAATGTACCCTTTCCTCCCCAAGTTGCTTTTGGTCATGATGTTTTTATCACAGCAACAGAAAGCAAAGACACTCTGTCTCTAAAACAAACAAAATAAAGGTGAAAAAGCAAAATAAATGAAGAAACAAAATAAAACCAACGTGAGGCCAGCAAGGTTGCTTGGTGGGTAAAGGAACTGCCATCAAGTCTGTCTAACTTAGTTTATAATCCATATGGTTGAAGGAGTCAGCTGACGACACTCAAGTTGTCCTCTAACTTACACTGTGAAAGGGACACACAAAGATACAATTAAAAGAAAATTGATGGGCATGAACATTACTAAACCATTTGCACACAGCTGTTCATGGACAACAGATTGTTATTTTCATTTTTTTATGTATTTATTTATTTTTTGTTTGTGTGTTTGTTTTTCGAGACAGGGTTTCTCAGTCCTGAAGATCTCACCCCTGACTGTCCTGAAGATCAGGTTGGCCTCAAACTCACAGCGATTTACCAGCCTCTGCCTCCCTTGTTCTGGGATTAAAGGTGTGAACCACCATGCCTGGGTGTTTTGTTTTGTTTTTTTAATTCTTAAAACTGTTTTTGGTGTGGCTGTTTGTGCTCTGTGTGTGGTGTGTGTGCATCAGTGTTGTATAGGTGTCTGGGTGTATGCATGGAGCCAGCCAACAAGGTTGAGGCCAGCCAGGTTAAGAGTTCCAAGCCAGCCTGGACAACAGAATAAGACCTTGTCTCACAAAATAAAAGTAGGGGCCAGTAAGAAAGCTCAGCAGGAACATGTGGTGGTGGCCCACTCCATTGATCCCAGCACTCAGAAGGCAGAGGCAGGTGGATTTCTAAGTTCAGGGCCAGCCTGGTCTACAGAGCAAGTTCGAGAACAGCCAGGACTACGCAGAACAAACAAAAAACTTTAAACAATGAAAAGCTCAGCAGATAAAGGAGGGTGCAAGCAAGGCTGACAGCCCGAGTTCTGTCTATCAGGCACGAGCACCCATACACATACACGATGACAATAGTGACTAAAGTGGTTACAATAAAAACTAAGCCTTCAATCTCCTTCCCGCCAGCCTAATTTCTCTCTTCCAAATTGAGTTTTCAGCAAACTTTCCCCCAAGTTCTTCCTCACAGCATCCCCTCGGTCACCTGGCAGTTATCAGTACCTTTCATTTTGTGCAACAGATCACCCATTAATATGAGTATATCCAGATTCCTAACTAAATCTGAAGGATCTTACTCTGGGTTGGTGAGATGAATCATTGGGTTAGAGTACTTGCAACCAAGCCTGACAAGAACCCACATAGCATGAAGAAAGAACTACTCTTGTGTGTACACACACACAATTAGTAATAAAACAAAAACCTCATCTCTCACCCACTACTGGGAACGGTGCTTTTCAGAGCAAGTTCTCACAGAGTAGCTGGTCAGGGGGAGAATGTACCTTAAGTCTCTCACTCTCTACACCTGGTTTGATGAACTTTCTCAGCAGCCGCTTTTCCTGTGACTTTTTTCTCCGTCTGTTCTCTGGACACAGAATGGAGTTACAGACTTCCACAGCAGTTTTATACTTGATCAAGGGCACGTCTATCAGACTCTCCAGATTCTGAAACGGCCCAAACCTCTTTCTGTGTTCTACAATATTGACGGATTTTCTGCCTCGGAGCAGTCTGAAAACTTCTAGTTCTTTATCAGAAGCTGTATTCAACACATGTAAGATAGAAGCCTGCTGTTCTGGCGAGAAGAGACTATCCAGGGCATTCCCAGGTTCCTCTTCATTTGTACCACAAGCAGCAACACTGGCCATAAGTTTCTCAGGTGCAGTGGATTTTCTCCAAGCACAGATATTATTTAGGACTGGAGGCAGGCATGTGTACTCTGGGACTGGAAACCATCTCTTCCTCCCTAAAAGGGAAATTTAAGTTAGAATGTTCTTTGACGGCTAATTCCCAAGCTTGTGCAGTTACACAGACTTGCACACAAATCATGTTATCACAGAGAGTTGGCTTTAAAAGGAGTGTAGAGGCTGGGTGGTGGTGGCCCACGCCTTTAATCCCAGCACTTGGGAGGCAGAGGCAGGTGGATTTCTGAGTTCGAGGCTAGCCTGGTCTACAGAGTGAGTTCCAGGACAGCCAGGGCTACACAGAGAAACCCTGTCTCGAAAAAAAATTTTTTTCAAATGTCTGCTACTTATGGCATTTATAATATTAAGATGATTTTTTTGGTAACCTCTCTTAAGATTTATCTCCACTTCCATTTTTACTAGTTTATCATCCGATGGAACTAAAGAAAATTAAACTTTATTCGTTTATAATAAATGTTTTAGCTGGTCAGGAGTGGTGGTCCTCACTTGGAATCCTAGCACTTAGGAGGTGGAAGCAGGAAGATCAAGAGTTAGCTACATAGTGAGTTCCAGGCCAGCTTGGGCAACATGGAGTTCTGACTGGGACGGCCGGGGGCTGGTGGTATTAACTAAGTGGTAGAGACGGTTTATTTTGTTCTGCATGTTCTCAGTATTGCTAACAAAGCTGTGTTTTTGCAAGCAAAGCCTATACTATGCAATGGATAACTTTATAAAACAGTGTGAAGTCATTCTCCCAGCGAAGCCACAGGAAAATAATGCAGCCAGAGGGTAAGCGAACCACTTAGTGTCTGAATGCCCTGCTAACAGCCCAGCCCGGAAAGGGGCGCGCGCGGAACCTGGGCCACAAAAGCGCGTAGGTTCAGGGGCTGGGGGGACACGACTCCACGCGGGAGAACCGGACACGGGACAGAAGAGAAACACTTCAGATCACAGGCTAATGACTGGCAAGCAATCAACCGCGTGCTCAGGAACCCTACCTCCGGCCTTGATGAGGCAAGCAAGGTTTGTCCTCCAAGCCATCGCCAGGCTCTCTCACGCCTGTGTTCCTCCTCCAACTTCCGGTTTTGTGTGTTCCAACAAAAAGTGTTCGACCGGGGCTGAGCAGAAGGGTTCCGGCGAAAGAGACAGTCTCAGGGAAATGTCAACTGAGTTCCTAGCGATTGATGGCTGCCGGTCTCCCGATAATATACGGCCGGGCGGGATCTCCGCGATGGAAAGGACTAGACTAGGTTTAAGCCTGTTTTGGGGCTAAACTTCTCTGGTTTCCCAGACACACAGAGAGCCTTGAAAAGACAGTGGGGAGCCTGTATGCACGCATGTAACCCTGTGCTGAGTTGAGAGGAGTAACTAGGAGAGATGCACAGGATAAGAAGGTCAACTTATGTGATCGCTTTGACGCTGGGCACTTTTGACTGAAAAGGATGGAGGGAGGTGAGTCTGGAGCCACATTTGATCCTTGGAATGCGGAATGGAACAGTTGAAAAAGTTGGGCAGGTCGCTTGTTTTTTAGTTGCAAAGTCAGATTGGAGGGTCTTTCTAGAAAAAAAAATTGATCATTTGCAGCCAATGTGAGGCTGAACTGGGGAAGAGCCTGAGAACAAGAAAGAGGAATCAGAAGGTGATTATGATGTGTTTTATAAAACAAATGATGTGTTTTATGGAGCGCGGTATACTGTGGTGGGAAGGGGTGCCTCAGCGGGCTAATGCTGAGGCAACCCCCACTTCCCCCAGGTACCTGTCTACTATAGAATAGAGTTTATTTGGGGGAATGGAAAGGAGAGTTGAGAAGGGAGTAGAGGCAGGGAAAAAGAGGGGACAGAGTAGGAGAGAGAGAGAGAGAGAGAGAGAGAGAGAGAGAGAGAGAGAGAGAGAGAGAGAGAGAGAGAGAGAGAGAGAGGCTGGCCGGGAACACGTTGAGGGGAAGGGGGAGGGAGAAGAGGAGAGAGGGAGAAAGGGGTCAGAGAGAGAAGAATCAGAGTCAGAGGGCAAGCAGTTCCTTTTAGAACAAGCCAGGCCTACCTGGCTGTTGTTAGGTTAACTATTGGGCGGAGTGTAGGAAGAATGACAACAGATTAACTTGCCAAGGCAGAGTGAACTGTGGGGAATGAAACCTGAGAGAAGGAAAAAGAGTGGAAAGGGGTTTGGTAATGGGTTTGTGGTTATAGTAGACATAAGTAGCTAACCTATAATGCCCGCACTTAGGAGGATGAGGAGAATTGCTGTGCGTTTGAGTCCAGCCTGGGCTATGTAGTGAATTTGAGGCCATCCTAGATTACAAAATGAGACCCTGACTCAAAAGGTATCAACAACAAAGGTTAGTCACAGGCTCAACCATTAAGAGTACTTGTTGTTCTTACGGAGGATCTGGCTTTGGTTCACAGCATCCACATGGCAGCTCACAACCATCAATAATTCCAGTTCCAGGATGTCCAGTAACATCTTCTGACTTCCACAGGCACGAGGTGCATGCCTGGTACACAGACATACGTGTAGGCAAAACACTCATACATGCAAATTAATAAGTCTAAAATAAAAGTTATTCTTAAGGGAGCCTGGTGTGGTGGCATATTCCTGTAATCAAGCATAAATTCCGGGTCAGTCTGGGCTGTCATAATGAGATCTAGTCTTTAAAAACACAAAACTGGGATAGGTAGGGAACCTCATGGAAACAAACAAACAACACAAAAACAAAACAAAAAACTGGGATAGGTAGGGAACCTCATGGAAACAAACAAACAACACAAAAACAAAACAAAAAACTGGGATAGGTAGGGAACCTCATGGAAATTCTACGAATCATAATGATTTCTCCAGAATTTAAGGATCTAACAAAAATAAAGACAACTTTATGTGTAAAATCTTCCAAAATTTTTCTTTAAAACACAAAATTTTATACAGAATTGTTTCATGTTTCATTGAGTACCACAGAGCTGCTGAAATGAACCATGGGAAATTTATTCCCTCACACTTCAGGAGTCCAGACACCTGCTACCAGAGAGTATCAGTGGGGTTGGTTCCTTCTGAGGACTCTGCAGGAAATGAATTGCATGCTTCTCTCTGACCTTCAGATGACTACCTCCACCACATACAGATGTGTCACTCTGCTGTCACTAGGCATTCACACGGACATTTCATGAGGACAGTGGCCATGTTGGAATGGCCACAGCTCCAGTCCAGTGTGATCTCATTTTGGGAGGAGGTGTTTTTGAGATAGGATTTTATTATGTTGCCCAGGGTACCCTTGAACTTCTGGGCTCAAGGTCTCCTCTCTTCTCAGCCACCTAAGACAGTGGAGCTATGTCCCAGGTCACTTGGCAGTTTTATTCTTTTGACTGTGCAGTGCTGGGACTTAAATCCAGAGCATGTGTGCTAGGCAAGCGCTACTCATACCTCAGCCTCCATGTCATTTCAAGTAATGGCATTGACAGTGACCTTGTTTCCAAATAAGGCTGCCTACTGAGGTACCAGGAGTTAACATTCAATATATCTGTTTTGAAGTATGTAATTAAACCTCAGGAAATAATAAGTTCTGGAGTGAAAAGGTAGTCATTTCTTCCTGGATTGGAAGCTTTAAAAAAAAAAATTTAGCCGGGCAGTGGTGGCACACGCCTTTAATTCCAGCACTTGGGTGGATTTCTGAGTTCGAGGCCAGCCTGGTCTACAGAGTGAGTTCCAGGACAGCCAGGGCTACACAGAGAAACCCTGTCTCAAAAAACAAACAAACAAACAAACAAACAACAACAACAAAAAAAGATTTATTTTTAAAAACTCTTTTAAGAGCACTGACTGGTCTCTGAGTTCAATTCCCAGGAACCACATGGTGGCTCACAACCATCTATAATGGGATCCAATGCCCTCTTCTGGTGTGTCTGAAGACAGCTGCAGTGTATTCATATAAATAAAAATAAATAAATAAATCTTTAAAAATGTGTTTAAAATTATGAATGTATGTGTGTGTTGGATAGGGTGAGGGATGACCAAAAGTACAGGTGTCTTAGGAGGCCAGACGACCCCTTGAAGTTAGAGTTACAGCTGGCCGTGAGTCACCTGATGTGGGTAGTGGGAATAAAACTTCGCTCCTCTGCAAGAGCAGTACTGCCTTTGAACTGCTAAGCCATCTCCCTCTAGCATTTACCTTGAAGTTTTACATTTTTAAATCCATTTATGTATCTGTGATGGGGTTGTGCACATGCACACGTGCATGCACGATGGTCTGAGGACAGGCCTGCCTGCTACCATGTGAGTTCCAGGAATCAAACTCAGGTCACCTGGCTTGGTGGCAAGACCCTTTGCTCAGTGAGCCATCTCACCAGCCTATTTAAAAGTAAAATGCTACCAGGCGATGGTGGCACTTGCCTTTAATCCGAACACTTGAGAAGCAGAGGCAGGTGGATCTCTGTGAGTTTGAGGCCAACCTAGTCTACAGAGCTAATTCCAGGACAGCCAGGGCCACACACAGAAACCCTGTCTCCCCAAATTAAAAAAAAAAAAAAAAGCCATTCTTTTTTTTGTGTGTGTTTGTTTTGTTTTGTGAGACAGGGTTTCTCTGTGTAGTTCTGGCTGTCCTGGAACTCACTCTGTAGACAAGGCTGGCCTCGAACTCAGAAATCCGCCTGCCTCTGCCTCCCAAGTGCTGGTATTAAAGGCGTGCGCCACCACCGCCCAGCGAAAAAAAGCCATTCTAACATGGCCACTGTCCTCATGAGATGTCCCGGTGAATGGCTAATCACGTGACACATCTGTATTATGACCTGAAGGTCAGAGAGAAGCATGCAACCCATTTCCTGCAGAGTCCTCAGAAGGAACTAACCCCTCTGACATTCTGGTTGCAGGTATCTGGACTCCTGACGTGTGAGGGAATAAATTTCCCATAGTTCATTTCAGCAGCTCTGTAGTATTCAACGAAACAAACATTTAGGAATCCTCGTGGTGCCTTTGAGAAATGATGCCATTCAGAAAGACATAACTTAGTTCTTGCTAGCTGCCAAAGCAGGGAGTTTCCCCACTGAGCCTCAGGTTCCTCATTTGTAAATTGGAGACTGTAGTAGCTGCCTCACAGGACCTGGGAGACGGAGTCAAGAGAACACATGTACAATACACACTCTGTGGATGCTAAGTTTCCCATCAGAGTGTCATCTGTTCTTCAGAGTTAATGATTAATAGCGTTGAGAGGAAATGTCTTCAACAGAGCCTCCATTCAGAACTGCACTTTGACCAGAGCTGGAGGTAGCAAGAAAAGAGACAGCCTAATACTCGTGCTTCACTGCAAGCCAGAACCAGGGTGTTCAAAATGAAAGTGGTTATCTTCCGAAATCAGCTGATTCTCATTTCCCTGTTTCTTTTTCCAGATGAATATCCTTGGAACAAATTAATTTTGTTTGTAGAGATATTTAAAAAATATCAGTCCTCCATAGCCAGATATGGTGATGCAACCGTAATGCTCACTGAGGTAGGAGAATTGAGGTCAAGGGCATCCTGACCTAATTAATGGTAAGAGCCTGGCTAGGGCATGTGTAGCTCTGGTCTAACATTCATGAGGCTCTGGATTCAAGTCCCAACACTGCACAGTCATCAGAATGAAGATGTCAGATGACCTGGTCCCAGGTCTAAAAAGAGAAAAGCCAAACAGGGCTGGCAAGATGGCTCAGCAGATAAAGGCACTTGCTGCTAATTCTGACAGCCTGTGTTAGTCTTAGAACCCATGTGGCAGACTTGACCCAAGTTATTATTTATTCTCTGACTACCACACATGCATCACAGCACACAAGCATGTGTGTGAATACACCAATAAATAAATGTGACCTTAACAAAAAAGATTAAACAAAAAAAATTAGTAACTAAGTTATGTGAACATTTTTTTTTCAAGACAGGGTTTCTCTGTTTAGTCCTGGCTGTCCTGGAACTCACTCTGTAGACCAGGCTGGCCTCCAACTCAGAAATCTGCCTGCCTCTGCCTCCCAAGTGCTGGGATTAAAGGCGTGCGCCACCACCGCCCGGCTTGTTTTGGTTTTTTTGAGACTGGGTTTCTCTGTGTATCACTGGCTGTCCTCGAACTTGGTGT